TGAGGGCATTCCACACTGACTGTGTAAATGAGATTTGAGCATTCACACTGTTCTCCTGTCGCTGCAAGTGCAAATATGAAAGCAAATATGGTTAAAAGGAAGAGAGAATGAACTGCTACGCTGTAGCCATGAAGGTTGGAAAGTGAGATGACAAACTAATGCTGGGATAGTTCTGTACAATTTGTAACAAACAAACACCAAAGTATTCCTAAGAAAGGGAAGCAAAGGGCCAGGTGCCCTTAGTTAGTAAACAAATTCCAACCACACACACTTGAAACTTCATCCTTCTGATGCCCGGAAAGGTGGATTACACCCACATTACCTTTCTTCTTCTTTTCCTAAAGACTTCTTACAATGTGCATATAATTCCACTTCTGGAAAACACAAATGGTCTTTGCCACTGCAGACAGCATACCAGTACTTTGAATCATCGAGTGAACCAACTCTGTCCTTTTTCCAGCCTCTTGTTTGTCTTGGCAAACTTAGACTCATCTGGAAGAAATAACTTGAACTTACACAGTTCCTCATCAGTGATGTTATCCAGGCCCTTTAATAACAATATTTCCTTATATTTACTCTCCTTCTTACAACTTTGGAATTGGCCTATGAAAAAGCCAGAACTTTTAAGCTTACACTACCAAAGGTGAATTCTACTTTTAAAATAAACAAAGCAATTGGTTAATATCTTTTTAAAGGGTGAAAAAATGTTTACAATATACAAAAGGAGATTTGGGTGAAACATAAGTAAAAAACTTCCTAAACAAGGAGCCTTATCTATTTCTATGGTCACTATTACTGGGAAAGGACATCTTCGTAAGGCATACCATGCCTCAGGAATTCTTAGATAATAACTCTGATTACTCCTGAAATAAATTTATTGAGATATACCACAGAGTTTTGACTTAAGCTTATAGTACATAAAATCCAATATATCATTTGTTTTCTTTCATGGGTCATGTTTTCTGAGTCTTATCTAAAAAATCTTTGCCAAACTCAACGTTAGAAGTTTTTTTCCCCTATTTTTTTTCTTCTAGAAATGTTACGGATTGTTGTTTCATCTTTAGGTTTATGTTCTATTTTGAATTACTATTCTGTAAGAAGGTACAGGGCCTGGGATTTAGCTCAGTGGTTTCACCGCCTGCTAGGCAGGTGCAAGGACCTGAGTTCGATCTCTGGTACCAAAAAAAAAAAAAGCTACATATGACACAGAGTTTTTCATGTGAATATAAATTTTCTCAGCAAAATATGTTAAAAAGGCTTTTTTTTTCCACTTATTTGTTTTTGTACCTTTCTGGGGAAAAAAACCCAATTGTTATTATATGACTAAGCTTCTGGGTTCTTCATTCTGTTCCAATATTCTGATTCTTTATTTTATTTATTTATGTTTTCCAGTACCGGGGATCAAGCTTAGGACCTTACCCTTGCAAGGCAGGCGCAGTGCCACTGAGCTAAATCCCTGGCCATGATTCTTTATTTTTATGCCAATAATATATGTATTGAAAGTTTGAGTGTCCAAATACAATGTTCAGAATAACACACAAAATATCATAAATAATTTGTTAGTGTTTCTAAATATAAAGTAACATATGAAA